GTCGACATCTGAGAGGAAGCATGAGATGCAATGGGCAGCTAGAATGCAGCTGGACTGTCTAGACTTCGCAGATGATCAGGCCCTTCTATCGCACACGCAACAACACATGCAGTGTAGCAGCAGTAGTTCTTAACAAACACAAAGGGAAAAACGAGATTCTCCAATACAACACAGCATGCCCCCATCCAATCACAGTTGACAGGGAAGACTTAGAAGATGTAGAAACCTTCACATATCTGAGCGGTATCATTGATGAACACGGTTGATCTGATGCAGATGTGAAGGCGCGAATAGGCAAAGGAATAGCATTATATTTACAACTGAAGGACATCTGTTAATCAGAAAAACTGGCAACTAACATCAAGGTCAGAATTCTCAATAAAAATGTCAAGACAGTTCTACTGTATGGGCGGAAACCTGGATAACTACGAAAGCGATCATCCAGGTTATACGAGTGCTTATTAACAGCTGTCTAAGCAAAATATTCCGGATCTGTTGGCCAAACAGTATCAGCAACAACCTACTGTAGGAGTGAAGAAACCAGATTCCAATGAAGGAAGAAATCAGGAAGAAGTACTGGGAGTAGATAGGACACACACTGAGTGTAGCACCCAACTGTGTCAAAAGGGCAGCTATCACATGGAATCCTGGAGGGCAAAGGAAAAGGAGAAGGCCAAAGAACACATTCCAGTGAGAAATGGAGACAGACATGAGAAAGATGAACAACAATTGGATCGAACTGGAAAGGAAGGCCGAGGACAGAGTGGGTAGGAGAATGCTGGTCGGAGGCCAGTGCTCCAAGTAACATCGTTGTCTATACTAACTCATCCTACCGCCAAATCAGCAATACAATGTTTAGCGCTTCTAAAGAACACAGTTCGGCTGGATATAGGATGGTAGATTTAACAGGAAAATTGACATGTTATAGAGAATTAGGACACCCTCAGGATTGAGCCACGCCACACTGATCAATTGTCCACCATTACTGATCTTCTCTTCGTGTTAAGTGTTAAACTAGAATTTTACAAGTTACCTCATGTCCAGATTCAAGGATCATGTTGTAAGAAATAATGCCACTTCAGGGGTTTGTGGTCAACAAACAGTGTGAAACGTGCACTCCTTAAGATGATCAGAAATGATCAGATACCCTGTCAATGTGAGTTACGTCGGAACAATCTAAATCAAAATTTGAGCGGTTTTCAGTTGCTTTGTAGTGACGTGTAACAACACTAAATCCTAAAAACTTAGTCCTCCAAGTTAAATGCACTCTAACTCCGAAGATTTACCCTGGACTTTGAATGATGGTCAGAAATTGGTAGAGGTTGAAGATGGCACAGGTATTCAGTGTCTGACAACGCTTTAACCAGTAACACCTAATATAATTCGTACTCACCAAGTGAAATCAAAAGACAGAAGCGAGGAGGTTTGAAGATATATTTCATGAGTTATCAGTATATCGAGGATTGACTGATCTAGTCTGTCTAGCGATTGCATGGCTTACCCACAAGTGATCTGGTGCGGATGCATGACCGAGCGCTTTCAGCTAGGTGAGTCCACTAAAACTAATCTGGTCAGCATCCAATGTGAAAACTTACAGAGCTATTTATTTTGGGGATTTATTTACCACTACAAGGTAATGGAAACTTCACATGTATATATTCTAACTCTGAAGACCAAACACCTACAATAATAACTTTATGTTTGCAGAAGCTCCTATATCAACATTTATATTTCTATCCTTTTATATGCCATTCGGATTGTTGGCCATATGTCCACCCAATTCAGGATGGTTTGTTAAGAAACTCAAATATCTGTATTCGACCAGATTGGCCGCTTGAGGATCGAATCAAGTGAAAGAATGCTCTTACGGAGTTGAGGACTCGCAAATTAAATGGCGAAAATAACTTTACCATTAAGGGTTTTCGGGTAGTCAGGTCTTGGAAGCCAATGCTTCCGAGGCCTGTATGGGTAGAACGATTGATTTCCAAAACACCTTAAGTGTGTGCTACACGAACGCTCGTAGTCTTAGAAATGAAACGTCCGAGCTAAGTCTGATGGTGCAAGAATTATGTCCCGATATAATCGTTGTTACAGAAACATGGTTCACCGTTGATATAGACTGTTCTCAGTTCATTGCTGGTTATATCTGTATCAGAAGTGATAGAGTTTCAAGTCGCAAAGGAGGAGGTATAATATTATACGTTAGGGATCACTTTCGTATACAATCAACCATATCGGAGGCTCATATCAGTGGCACATGTGAGGTTGCATGTTGTAAGATTAAATCTAGAAATGGGTTAGTGACTATAAAAGTAATATACCGTGGTCCGTTTTGTCTTGCTGACGACTTTATCCTAAGACACATCTGTTTTTGGAGTATGGCGGAATGTTGTCTCATCATTGGGGACTTCAACGCACCGCATATCAACTGGATAGAGCTTACAGCTCCAGGTAGTGGTTTCGATAGCGACCTTTAATCTACCGTTATTCAGCGTGCACTTGTACAATGTATCACAAAGCCGACACATATTGATTTGCAACATGATCCGTAACTGTTGGACCTCGCCCTCACCCACCACTGTGAGGATGTCTTTGATATTCAGCACCTTCCCCCACTAGTGAACGGTGATCACGTTGTAATTCACTTTAAGTTTAGGACACATGGTATACAATTCGTATCTGCTCCACCCCGTCCCAATATCTGGCGAGCCAATATTCCGGCAATCAGAAACTGTGCTATCTCGACTGATTGGTCGGTCGACGCGGATGGATTGATCGAAGATGAATGGAATACGTTTAAGGCTACATTCGAGTCCGTAACTTCGCCGTTTATCCCATGGTCAGCACGTAAGCTATCACACTGCCCTCAATGGATTAATAAGGAAACCCAGATGCTGTTAAAGCGTAGGAAACATTTCTGGGACTTATTTTTGTTGACAGGCCATACACCATTTAAGCGTGAGTACCGAAAATTCCGTAATATTTGTAAGAAAACCATAGCCAAATCCCGTACTACTTACAAATGACAGTTAGTATATGATAGCCGTACTTGTCCAAAACGATTGTTTTCCTATGTTAAACGGCAAACGAAACGTAGTGATGGTATTCATCGTTACTGTTACACGAGAATTCAAAATTACTAGCTGAATCAGATCAAGCAAAAGCTGAGACTTTTTCAAACTATTTAAGCTGAGTCTTCTCCACGTTTACTGTAACAAATACTTGTCCCACTCACCCTGAGATACCAACCATAGAATCTGTACAGGTGACTGAGGAAACTGTCCTTCCGTTGATGATTAACCTCAAACCTGGTAAGACACCGGGCCCTGACGGGTTACATCCACGGTTGCTATCATCTCTTGCAGACATTATTCCCAAACCGCTCGTGAAACTCTTCAACATGTCCCTTTCACTCGCTCAACTCCCTAGAGATTGGAAGGACGCTATAGTCAGTCCTATATTCAAGGACGGTCAGAGACATATAGTATCTAACTACCGGCCTGTTAGTCTAACTAGTATAGTCGTTAAGTTACTTGAAAAGTTAATTCGGGTTAGGTTGCTAAGCCTCATAGATTTACACAATCTGTTAGCTCCTGAGCAACACGGATTTCGTAACAAGCGTTCATGCTTGACTAACTTGCTTATTGCCAGAGAGGATTGGACAGCAGCCCTAGATAACGGTCTGTCTGTCGATGTGATATTCATAGATTTTAGCAAAGCATTTGACAAGGTTTCACACGTAGGTCTTAAGCAGAAGCTCATGAGCTTCGGAATAATAGGTACTGTACATAAGTGGATAAGAAACTTCTTACGTGACCTCAGACCGAGAGTTAGGGTCAACGGAACGCTATCTGATTGGAAGCCGGTTAAAAGTGGTGTACCCCAAGGCACCACCTTAGGTACTCTGCTCTTCCTTCTCTACGTTAATGAGTTACCGTTGTTGCTTAGGTCGTCGACATTATTGTTTGCGGATGATGTAAAAATCTGGAGAGCAATAAAAAGTGAAGCTGATCATCTGGATCTTTAAGCTGACTTAGACGATTTAGTTAAATGGGCCCGAGAGTGAGGCTTAGAAATCAATGCTAGGAAGAGTGTGCTAATGCACATCGATCACGGTAATAGTTACAGTTACACTATTGAGGGTAAATCTCTTCCATGCGTTCAAGAGTATAAAGACTTAGGAATAGTATCGAGTCATGATTTAATAACATCTACACATTGCAAAGCAGCCGCTGTCAAAGGTTTTCGTGCGTTATGGTCACTTCACCGTGCGTTCAAATCTTTTGACGAGGAAACGTTTCGAATTTTATATCCCACCTACGTAAGACCACACTTAGAGTACTGCATCCAAGCAGCTAGCCCGTGTCTGGTGAAGGATACTATCTCCCTTGAGCGTGTCCAGCGTGTGGGAACGAAATTAGTGAATGGTCTTTCTAGACTCCCTTACGATGAGCGTTTAAAACACCTAAATCTTTTCCCCTTGTCGTATCGTAGGACACGAGGTGACCTTATACTGGCATTTCGTATCTTTAATTATGATTTGGGTGTTAATATGTCCTATCTTTTTGCTCCCTACAGCACTAATAATCTCCGCGGTCACAGCAAGAAGGTTCATAAACGAAGATCTAATAAACTTAAAGTGGGGTCCCGTTTTTCTCATCGAGTAGTCAGTGATTGGAACGCCTTACCCGAACAAGTGGTATCAGCCCAATCAGTGAATACTTTCAAGGAGAAGCTGGACCTTCACTGGAAAGCAGTGTGTCAGGATTAATGCAGGTTCATCAACCTACTATCCTTATTACTGAAGACTGAAGATTGAACTTTATACTGCTCTACGTAAGCTGAACCTGCAGAACGATGAATGAAACTATTTTGTAATACGTTTTCCTTTGTGTACACGAGCCGTCTCAGTTTAACGCCTGTGATTTGTTGTACGATCACTCCTGCTTCCAAGTATTTCGATTTCTAGGAACAAAACAGGTTTTATCTTCTTGGTCTTTGAGACACAAGGTCACTTCGTCAGGTAGATTCGAAATAGCCCGCGTGATGGATTTGACGATTTTGTCTGCTCCAGATGAATGCCTGCCTTGTGATCCTGAGTGTTTGCTAATATTTGTGAGTCTTCTGAAGTCATTTAATAATAGCTGCAGTGCTACATCAGGTTGAAAGGGGCACGTATGAACATAAAGATGAAGGTACCTGATCAGTTTACTGTTGAGAGCTTCCCAGTTCTCAGTCATGATAATAAGGATTACCACAGAATCCCAATTGTCCTAACGTATTTGAGGAAAGAAGTGGGTTTCTTGTCTTTTTACTCTGAATGTTCACGCTTTCCTTATGTAGTCTAGATTGATACTTGTCGAAAGTCGTATTAGCTCGGTAGCCTGATACTGTTCATTCGTTTGTTCACTCCGAAGTTTCAAATCAAACTAAAAACAAATGTATGCAAGGATTGTTACTGTTTATTGAGGTCTGAAGTGTTATGTAGATCATCAACTATTGTTTGAAGCTTATTTGGTAGTGTAGAGTTACCATATTGTCGAAATTGTCAGTCATCTGCAGCATAGTACCAGGCAAATTTATGAATCGGTTAAAGTTGCGATACCTCAATAGGACGAGGTGGACATTAGTTTTATAGAAGCGGTTACTCAAATGATAGTAATATTTAAAAATAAATGATTTCATATTAGAATATGATACATGGAGCAAAGACTAGTTGACCCAACATATTTGTAAGGACATACCATTGGATTCCATACGTCTTATCAATGACTGGCTAGTGAAAATCACAATTCAAGCTCACCATGATGTAGCCTTGAAGTTGACCACCTAAATCGTATGTCGAAACGTTTTGCATTACTCTTTTGTTTATTTCTATCATGGGTTTATTCATGTGAATAACTTTTTTCCACTCAGTCAACCATAGATTTGTCCGTTACACTAAGTTATAAGTACAGAATCAGTATAACCTGCTTCACTATATTACGTATTTTAGACTCAGTTAATATCAGTTTTAAGTGTCTGTAATGTCTCCATATTAACAATTTTATATTGTCAGTAAGTTGACGGTCGCGAAAAAGTCAGGCAATCTGCAATAAAATATGCCTACTGCTTTTGACAATTTATTCAACTTTTTGTCTTGTTCACCCGTTTTTCAAAGAGTGAAATATTGTGTAGTACACAGTCTAGTATTACTGGTGATCAGCAGTAATGAAAGGGATAAAATGCCGATATAAACTGATGAGATTTTATTGAAAGTTTCATGAAACTAGCCATCCAGTTCCCTGATATACTAGGTAAGATGGTTTGAGTTTGAACTGTATATATAAGTCCAAACTACCTGCTCAGGGTTTGGACAGTAATTATGATCAGTAGTTAATAAATTTAAATAACATAACGAAATCAACTTTGATGTCATTGATGCATTTACTTTGTCTCCCTGTTGATCTTGATTTTCACAGTTACTTTGTACACTATTCCGCGAATATATTTCCTAATCTCAAATCATATTCTTTGTATCTAGCTTCTCTTATTACTACTGACAACATCACTATCCTAATATTCATATAGTTAGTTACATCTTCCTATAGTGATGTGGTTTAGCAACTTGAGTCATCCATTCGTACACAGCCTAAAACCTGGCACAAATAGGGATTGATCCAAACTGACACGCTGCATGAAGAAAGCTAGATAAAACCGTCAAGACAAATCCCAGGATAAAAGAAGTACCAAAAGCATTAGCAGTGATAAAAAAGTTTGGATGTACATAGAGTTATTTGAGGAAATAAGTACAAATATGTGTTATAAACTACGAGGACTCAGCCACTGTTATTGCTTAGTATTATTCAGAAACTTCACTCGACATTTCGCCAAGTCAGAACATGGTTGAATAAGAATATACTTCTTATTCTAAATAAAGTGCTGAATAGGAGCAGGAATCAATAAGAAAAATGTTAGTGTTCTCTAAGTATCCGACAGCGTTTGTTGTCTACGAAATGGCCAATCCGCGTGCTTCAACACAATCGTACACGGAACAAGCTTGTATCAAATCTATATCTCGTTAACAAAAAGAAATATAAGACGTATTTAAAACTCAGGGTAGAAAGGAACTTGAAAAATGAATGAATCTGCAATACACTATTATTAATGTTGATCCGGGTCACTCAACTTCTCTAACTATTGATTAAACTAAACCGAAAACTATGAGTATTCGATCGAGGCGATCAATTTCTCTTGATCAATTTTTTATTGCTTATTTGTTTTATTATTTATCTACCCTGGTAATATTGACTTATTATCCAGAGTGATTAGGTTTCAAATTGTGTTCACATTATTATTATTATTATTACTCTTATCATTATCCTTATCTCCTCTTACCCCGTTTCCTGTCTAGTTGACCTTTTATTTTTATATATAAATGCTCTTAACAAGTATATGTGTGACCAGATTGTTCGAAATGTATTGCGCTAATATATCACATAGTTCTGATAATCTTCGTCTTCTAATATCATTATCGAAATTTATTATTTATCGTCTTACCTAATACATTTTTATGTCTTCGACTTTATACTATACGTTTATGTATAAGGCTCAGTCGATACTACTACCGACAGTTAATACCTAATTCTAAGCAAGTATTGTTAATTGTAAACAGATTTTTCAGTGTTACTTATAATCATTTTTTTACTATCCAATAAATAATTTATAAAACGAGATTAAACCTGTAAATTTACTACCGACAGTTGATAAATTCTGCTCAAAATGTTTCAATATTAAAATATTCACAGTTATTATCAGTGTGAAGTTGTGAAGATTGTTAAGTTTTTGATTAAGATCATGAATCGATAAATGTCAGACTCCCGTTGAAAACCTGGAAGCACTGGACGGCCGTTTCGTCGTGGTAAGGGACTCCTCAGCGGTGCGCATCCACAAAACCGAAAGCATGATTCAAACCCAGGGCCTTCAGTTTCGCGCGCGAACGCCTAATCTCTAGACCACTGGACCGGTCGGCGTCCGACGGTGTTGATGTTCAATTTTAAACAATCCACGATATTGCTTGGCCATTTTCGATTGTTGAGGTAAATGCCTGACGCGGGTTATCTCCACTGATCACAACTTCTCACCAGAACTCCGTGAATTACCTCACGAAGCCAGTCACTACTGAGCACACGGTAATTATCAGTGTGAGGTCGTGTAGGTTGTTATTGTTTAAAACTAACAACGATAAAATCTAATAATTCTTACATTTGATTTAATCAATAAAAATGAATGCAAATTTTTTGTGTCAATTTGTTTCGTTAACAGAATTATGGCTTAGAATATGACTTATCTGACATTGAGGGTGTTCAGTTGTGTGCTTTAATTTCAACTATAGAACGTCGTTTAGCTCCTGCTATTAATTGGTTCCTATGGGGTGACGATTTTGTTTATACTAATTTCACTAGAAAAATGTATTTTGGATCAATTGGACTTATTAAACAGTTATATATTCCTTATATCTGGCGTAACAAAAAGTTAAATAAGGCAAAGTCTTCTCAGTTAGTTATTTGTCTTAAGAATATGTCCGATTCAGAAATAGGCGAGTATGTAAGTTCTTCTTTTGACGTCGGTTTAACTTTTCAATTTTCATATTTTGAGTTATTGGCAAATTAGGTTCATTATTTATAATAAGTTGTTTATGTAAATATTGTCATTCACTCAGTAAGAGGTTTTTAAACAACAATGTGATCTTCACTTTTCTAGTAAATTTCAATAGTAGATTGTATTCGCTGTCACCACTCCCCTGTGACATTTTGTTAGTAACATCATATGGAAACGGCATATACTGATTGATTGGTCACATTATCTTGCAGTCGTTTTTCTAAGTTGATTTTATCGTGTCCAAACGAATATTACGGAACCATTTTTAACATATTTGTGATTCATATATACTTAACGATATAATGTGAGAAAGTGAAATTCGGCTTGTGATAAATCTGTTACTAGATCTATGTAGATATATGTGATGTCAAAGTCATTAACGTTGGTGTACATTACAACAGTACGTTTATAGCTTTTACAGAAAGCTTTCCGACCTCCGAAAAGCTAGGCGCTCTGATGTAATAATAGTGGCTGGTGACTTTAATGCTCAAGTAGGTAAACTAAGCGAAAGGTAAAGACATCTGGATGGACCTTATAGAGTCGTGGCTCAAATAACAGATAGTGGCGACCATCTGTTGCAGCTACGCTCAAATAACCGCTTCTTTCTCGCAAACGCTAACTTTAAACATAAAGAAAAACACTTTTTAACATGTCGACCCCCTAATTCGTCCCAGCGTTGGATCCAAATAGATCACATCGCTATCAGCCACTGATGGAGGGGCTCGATAGAAGACTGTCGCTCATTCTGGAGCACATGTCTAGATTCAGATCATGCTCTAGTGCGAGCGCGTATGTGTCTGCGTCTTACTGGACGTAGGAAAGACGCTACAAGCAAACCCCTTAGGGTCCTACTTAATGATAGGCAAGCTAAGAATATATTCAGGAACTAGAAAACAGTTAAGCAGCCATGAAAGTGATGCCCACCCCGAGGGAGCGTGGAAGGATATCCAGAAAGCTGTGGAAACAGCAGTGATATCTGCTAGTAAGGTAAAACATAGGGTTAGGGAGGAACACTGGATCTCAACAGCATCTACCCCAGTGATAGATGCTCGAAAACTCATTCCATCTGGCTCTGAACATAACGAAGAGTGGAGTCAGCTTAAGAGCGAGCTGACAAGAAGCCTACGCAATGATCGCGAACAGTGGTGGGTAGAGAAAGGAAGAGAGATGGAAAAGGCAACGGCCATAGGTAACAGTAGACAACTGATCAGACTTGTTAAGGAAACCGGTATTAGAAACCCAACTGTTAGCGAAAGTATCTCAGAAAAAGATGGACATATTATACATTCTCAATTGAGGAGATTGGATCGATGGGCAGAACACTCTAGGGATCAGTTCAACTAGCCTTCAGCCACACTTCGGTTTCCCACGATCTCCAGTCAACCTGAATGGCAAGTTAATGTAGGTCCTCCGTCCCTTTACGAAGTTGAAAAATCCATAGCGAATCTGAAACGAGGGAGAGCACCAGGTCCTGACAGGTTTACTCCTGAGAATTTTAAGGATGGTGGTCCAGTATTAGCAGTGAGATTAACTGAGGTCTTAGGTAGGATTTGGGAACTGGACGTAATCCCATCTGACTGGTCTCAATCACTGATTGTGCTAGTCTATAAGAAAGGACAAAAGTCCTCTTGTGACAATCACAGAGGAATCAGTTTGACTAATATAGTATCTAAAATATTAGCTTCAATAATACTTCGACGCCTAACTAAAGCTTGTGAAGAGCAGATTTGAGAAAATCAGGCTGGTTTTCGACCAGGACGTGGTTGTATAGACCAGATGTTCACACTGTGTCGGGTTCCAGAACACAGACACATCCAGACGCCCCATAATCGTAATGTTTCTCGATCTTAATGCAGCATTCGACTCTGTAGATCGTGAGGTTCTATGGCAGTGTTTGTCACTGAAAGGAGTACCAAAGAAGTTCATTAATTTTGTAAAGGCTCTCTATTCGAGCACAACTGGTAGAGCGACAGCTTATGGCGAACTGTCATCAGAATTGATTACCTCAAGTGGTGTTCGTCAGGGCTGTCCACTCTCCCCATTCTTGTTCAACTTTGTGGTCGACGTACTTTTACAGATAACACTCTCCTCATTTAAATTTACAGGGGTTGAACTTCTGCCGGGAGGTTCACTTGCTGACTTAGAATATGCCGATGAAATAGTTCTATGTGGTGAAGACGCTGACAAAATGCAGAGTCTTCTGACCACTCTAAGCAACAATGCAAGCATGTTCGGGACGCGATTCTCTCCCTCGAAATGCAAAATGTTGCTTCAGGATTGGGTTACATCGACACCCGAACTAGTGATAGGGAGTGAAGTTGTTGAGTGTGTCGACCGCTTCACTTATCTTGGAAGTCTCATCAGCCCTTGTGGTTTGGTGTGTGACGAAATCTCAGCACGGATACAGAAGGCTCGACTAGCTTTTGCCAACTTGGGTCATTTATGGCGTAGGCGATATATCCATTTATCAACCAAAGGACGTGTTTACTGCGCAGCAGCTCGTTCTGTCCTACTTCATGGCAGTGAAACGTGACCGGTAAGAGTAGAGGATATTCGTAGGTTACTAGTATTTGACCATAGGTGTCTTCGAAACATTGCTCGTATATCCTGGGAACACCGAGTAAGTAACACAGTTGTTAGGAAACGGGTGGTAGATAAGGATGGCAAATCGATTGATGAAGTAGTGAAACTTGATCAGTTGAGATGGCTGGGACACATGTTACGTATGGCCAACCACCGACTGCCTCGACGTGCGATGTTCAAAGATGTAGGAGTAGATTGGAAGAAAGGTAGTGGAGGCCAGACCAAGACAGCACAATTCCATGAAGTCACTGACGAGTGGACTGAGCCATGTTGGTAGGTGTAATCTACCTGGTTGGGGACCGCGAGATAATAGCAACCGATGGTATTTTTATTTATTTATTTGAACACATAAATATTGGTACAAGAGGGCACCAAATATGCATGCGTCACACAAAACAATGAGAATTTAAAGAGAAAGAAAGGTAAGGGGCGTAAAATAACAATAACGAACAGTGTAAGGTAGTGTAATAGTAATAATAATCGGGGGAACGAAAAGGTACAGTCAGAAGAAATCTTTCTGTTAAGGAAGAAGCAACCACTTTTTACGAAGAATGTAAAATAAGGTTACAACAGGATCGCCACTGGCTTCTATTCTGAGACATATCTGATAACGTCTCTAGACACTGTGTTGCACCATCTCTCGGACCCCAGCCAGGGAGTCGTGAAGGACCAACACAAGCCAGCCCTTTGAAGTTTTCTTTCATACCACGACACCATGTCCCACACTAACCACCTCTCCGCTTTTTCCAACCAGTCACAGAGTCGGCAAATAATGCACAACGTGGAATTCTCTGGGATGACATTCGTAGAACATGTCCAAGCCAACGAAGTCGGTGTTTCAACATGGTGACACTAATTGGATTATCGTCTCTGTGTCCGAACACACGAAGCCGAACCTCTTCATTACTAACATGATTTTGCCACTGCATGTTGGCAATCCTTCGGAGATAACGATGATCGAACACAGAGAGTCGTCTAACGTCCTCAATTCGGAGAGGCCAGGTTTTACAAGCATAAAGCAAAACTGTTCTCATCGACGCGCTGTAGATCCGACCTTTTACAGCCAGACTAACATCACGAAGGCGCCAAAGGTGGCCCAGATTGGCATAAGCCGCTCTGGCTTTCACTATACGTGCATTGATCTCATCACTCACACCCCCACCAACACTTATGCAGCTACCCAGATACACGAACTTCTCGACTACTTCTATCTGCTCCCCATCCAGAGTGAGTACAGGATTAGAATCCTGTCAGTCTTGTAGAAGTACCTTGCAGTTCGAAGGTGCAAAGCACATACCGTACCTACGGATATTGATTGCCAACTGATTAAGTGCGGATTACATGCCTTGGGCATTATCCTACAGTAAGACAATATCATCCACATTCTCAGGGTCGAGAAGTCTTTCTCCAGGCAACAGATCCACGCCGCCATTACTTACATCAATCAGAGCTGTTTCCAGAATGTCATCGATGGCAAAGTTGAAGAGGAATGGTGAGTTTGGGTAACCCTGTCTAACCCCACTACTCGAATGGAACAATGGAGAGAGGTGGTTGTATCCCCTCACTCTGCCTTAGGTGTTTGCATATAGGGCTTTTAGGATGTTAATAAACTTCTCAGGCACATCCTTCTGCAATAGACAATCCCAGAGAACAGCCCTGTCCAACGAATCGAAGGCAGCCCTAATGTCAAGAAACACTACGATTGTTGGCCTGTGATAAGTATGTCGGCGTTCTAACATTTGGCGGAGGGTGAAGATATGACCAATACATCCTCTACCAGGATGAAAACCAGCCTGCTCCTCACGAGTCAATCTTTCTCGGGTTTTGAACAACCTACGAAGTATGACGGAAGCAAATAGCTTAAACGCAATCGGAAGTAGACTTATCCCTCGATAGTTGTTGCAGGAACGACGTGAACCCTTTTTAAAGATAGGGACAACTATCGACTCATTCCAACAGATGGTTAGAGACCCTAAAAGACATGGCTCAAAATCGTTTGCAGTGGCGCAAGTGCATCCACTCTTTGTGTTCTCCCAAATTCTAATATTCTGAATTGTTCATCTCCCATTCTTTTTTTCTCTTTCCAAATTTATTTCACTGGATTATACTCATTGAATAACATCTTCAAACCCTAATGTTTCTGATTACTGCTTATATTCTTACCACCTCTACCATTACGGGATTTGAATCGACAACTGCATCTCTGTGCCAAGGTGGTGTGGCAACTCGAACTGATGTACGTGCGTACGATGTTCTACGCTGTTACTAACTGAACAGTTATTTGGTTTAACTGTTTCGATTTAATATTACTGTGTCGTAGGTTCGAATGTAATCCAGTTTATTTTTAGTAATTTTCACATTTTTCGTCATGAATGTAAATCGTAGGCTAATCACATATATTCGTATTTATCACTTGAGTCTCAAGTTAAGATACATTTCTCTTGTCTTCTAATTGTAGTTATATTCACTGGCCAAACTGTGCATTACATCACTTGCTTACATTTTGGGTGAAAATACATATTTTATCGGCGATCGGTAAGTTGATAATTCGAAGAAATTGTCCCAGTCATTACATTTTATTTGTAAATCTGTTGTTGGAGTGAATTGAAAGCTAGGGGCAACCAAACTTGACATCCGTCCATGAAGTCATTGATTGCTGACCTTAGTTATTTAGGATGTTGCAGGTCACCTTGTTGGGGTCCGTGTGATTATTATCGTAATCAATGTTTAGAGACTTCGAATGACATGGCTCAAAATAATTTGCGATGCCGCAGGCATATCCATTCTTTGTCTTCCCTCAAGTTCTGAACTCTTGAATTCCTTATAACGTTTTGTGTTTTTATTTCAATAATTTATATTTTCGTGAGTCCTATATTCGATACCCAGTCTTTTCATCTACCACTGATAATGTTACTACCTCTACTATTCTGAAATTTGGCTTAACCATTTCATCTCTCTATGATAATGGGATATGGCAACCTGAACCAACGCATATACCAGGTTCTAGGTTGTGATTTATAGACCATGTAGTACTCACATAATCCTCCAAGTCATACAATGTGACTTATTAATTCTTCGTAAAACCCTCCATTCCAGCTATCAGAATAGACATATTACTTGCCTGGGAGATTTACTTGGGAAGATGCTTTATGTCGCAAATTAAAAGTATCTTGTATATGGACCCGCTTTCAAAACGAGAAGTAAACGAAGTCTACAATACTAAAAGCAGCAGAGGTCTGGTAGTTTCATGCTGTTTAAATAAAGCTACCCTCACGGTACACGAATAGGCTAGGTAATTGCGTTGACGTTTGTGGTCCACCGACTAAATTGACGTAAACATACACTGGGGATTCACGTTCTGGTGAAGCCTTCGAGAAAATCTCTATCAAACCGTCCAACTTACCTTCCTGGGAGATGATTTGCGTTTCTTCCAAGATAATACAACATCATTGATCCAATAACAACAAGCAAAGTTGTGACTTGTGTATTTAACGATGATATTAGGGATCCGTCAAATTGGTAGCTAATTGAGTGAACAAGAGATGTAGTATAAAGATTTGTTCATTTTGAGATCAATGCTGTATCAGCATTGGAAACCTGGAAGCATTAGATGGCCGCCTTATCCTAGTATGGAACTCATTTTGTTATATATATATATATATATATACTTAAATTTTAAGTTATTTTTGTCATTATTCACAATGTTTAGAATTTAATTTGATTCGTACGATCATTGTTATTGACAACTGTAAATTGCCTTTTAAGCTTGACTTTGAGTATTCTCGTACATGGTTTGCGTGTCACATCGATTGTCGATTTCATAATGAACAGCCCCATATACCGCATCTCGTGCTCATTCAATCAGCTGCCACATTGACGGTTCCCCAAGTTCGTCGTTATATACAATTACAGGTCAAACCATTGCTCGTTGTCGGATTACTCATCTCGTAATAATAACATTACGAAGAAAAGCTTCCGGTGTTCTTCAAACGGCTGTTCCCGGTACAAACGTGCTACAGCATTTTCGGACGAACATTACTGGCGATTTGTTTGATTGTCAAATAACTCAGTTTTCTGTTACCAGATCTCGGATTTACTACAGTGATCTACCATAAAGATTTATGTTATTACTTCAGTAAATCATATGGCCAGCATTTATGGTGAGACTTTCGACAATCGAACTATGTCACATTTCCAAGCCGATGTCAAGTTCATCAAGGGAAACTGTGGTTTCATAGTAAATGGCTTATATAAAAAGGAAATCAACACTTTGATATCGATCTTGAAGGTATAGCTAAATTCTAAACGGATAACATCAAATTAAAGATATGCAAAGAAAAATCTAACTTGATACTCGAACATCTCCTTAAACTGGTTGCATTTTCTTTTATCCATCTTAAGATAACAACGTTCAATATGATTTTTAAAATCAAAAATATTATTCGGTAACAGGTTCTTTTTAGGGTTGTACAGTATTTAATTATGGACAATTCGACTAATTTTGGGACGCATGTAAATATTGAAAATTAATCATCATGATAGTCATTTTATTGGAAGTTGTCGATAATGATCTTTTGGTCAAATGAACTCGAGTAATAATTTGTGAACTCTTGAATTCCAAGCCTGGTTTACTTCTAGAAACGATTTTAGCATTCAATATATTTGTTCAGTTATGTTTAACTCATTATAAACTGGGCATATTTTCTCTGAATGTCTATTTATGTAGAGATAAATAAACAGTCCTCTGTTTTAGTATATACGTTAGATGTTGTTCTATTGTCCTGCTTAATTATATTAACGTTGATATTTGTTTTCTCTCTTTCCTATACGCTGATACCTTTTCGTGTATATGTACCTGCACTTATCAACATAATTAAAGACCAACTGCAGTCGACGCTTATGTGTTTGCATTAATGTGGCCCTTATTAATGTATGAATCACAGCATGGTGATTCTAATTGGTGGGATATCGACTACAACTCGTCATCATCCACTTGTTTACAATCAGGTTCACATCATTTAATCACACATCTATTACAATGTCCTAATTTAATGAGATTTTTTAAGAATATCTCGTCGAAATACTTTCAGAAACATACAAAATGTTTTAGAAAAGGTATGATCTATATCCCTTTTTGATCAATTTAAACCATACACTAAGATGACGGTTCTCAGTGTTTATGTGATACAATTTTTACAATACATATCAAATAATCTGATGAAAAGTTAACTGGACAAATGCAAAGGTAATTGGGAATAAAGGTAATGATAATCATTGAAGTGCTCAATATGAAAATCACGATGGATAATGAACCAGTATTAACAGGGTATGATCTTGACGAGTATATGGGAGATCAGATTGTTTGAATGGTATTGCGCAAAGATATTACATAACTCTGATAAAACCTTCATCTTCTCATTTCATTGGCCAAGTTTTCATCCCATTGTTTTTGCTTGTTAATTTTCCTATATCAGTCATAATTTTTATACCATTTTATATGATGAAATGCCTTGAAAGGTAACTGAATCTATGTGTTATGACTATATAATACATCAGTTTAGAATAGATTGAAATAACAGATTATTTGTTCACAGGAATAATCTTCACCAATACAACTAAATAGATTTTAATAGAACGTAAAACATCCTCCATTAAGTCATTAAATAAAATAGAAATGTTTCAGTTAAGACAATTCGTTGTTAAGAAGTAGCTGAAGTAATGTTCATTTTTGGTCTACGGTTATTTTTCAATTACGAGCAATTAACAGTCTTCTAATACACACGAGAATAGTGAGATCTCGTTACACAGGATGTATGACATGTCTGGCGTGCAACACTTCCTTGCATGAGATTTCAGGATATCTTTATATTACTAACAGAAGTTATCGTCGAATTGGAACAACATTCTATATACATGATATCACTCAGTGATGTTGAAACACAACAAACTTAGCGAACTAAAGGTGGTAAAGGCGTGCGTCATCAAAAAAGTATGGATAAGAAAAATGTTATCAAGATTTTCCTTTAAATTAACACTTAATCATAAAATGTACATATCCTGAAATCTTTTTATTAATAAACTATATAGGTGAACAAGGATAGTTTATGACAAGAGATACAGTTTGGATAAGAATGCCATCAGGAAAAGCTTCTAGTTAACAGAAATTCTTCCATGTTTTGGAGAATGTGAAGGAAAACTGTGGCAGAATAGTCTTTGGCTCCTTTCTTATCTATATCTATTAATGTATCAATGCATGAAGTTTTACCATCTTTAGGAACTCAGTCCGGTAATCGTCACGGATTGATAAATGATTTTTAATTCGTTTACGAGGTACAGATTCGTCTACTTCGCTTTGAATAATATTCTGATCATCAGGGTTAATGAAACTACCATGATTGACCAAATCACAGTAGGTATAACGGATTTCGAACCTGAGACTTAGTGACTGAAAACCAAAAACCTTTATCGCTCAATTGTTAATATTTAATTGAAGAATGTATCTGTACTCATTAGATTAAAATGTCAGTATCTAACATGCTTTGAATTAATCTACTCATGCTTTACTCATCATTTTATCACCATACAGAAAAATCTTCAGTTATTGACAAGTCAGTTGTATCTCATCCGATTCGTGATTGTATTCTCTGGGGTACTGGAGTAGTTGGTTTATTTCTAACTTATGCTTATTGTTCAAATAATCTACGGATTTTACAAAGGTTCCACGGATCTCGATCAACCTAAGTGCTATCTACAGTCGCTACTGTTATTTATTGTTTTATAGTCCTTGGATTCTGTGTATTATCTCGCATTTCTCTCTCCGAATATCCTTCCTATTCTCGTAAATCTTGAACCCATTGTCAATTCACGCAATTTTCTACCTTTCCGTTTTGAAAATCTCGATTCTGTATGATTTTACAACTTTCCGATTGCATATGTGAATATTACTACTTCCAGTACCTTTTTTGTTCCTATGTCATCCTGGCTGTTCTCTTTGTTATAGTGTTAATACAAAGAAGTTCGTCTATACATTGTTATCTGAAATGATGGTGATGTGTTCTCTGAACTATTTAGTTTAATTACTGAGAAGAATTAGGCTCTAAAGATGTCCAGATTAAAAATTAATGAGAGCTCTAGCTCAGATAACACATTAAATTGTTGTTTTTGACTGATTGTAATGCATTTCTTAAAAGCTTCCTGTCTATCATTATCTTATGCTTGTTTTTATCACAAAACATTCATTGTTACTTCTTTTCTCAATGCCAGGCATAATCATTAGCAGTAGTAAAAATGTATCAGAGATGAAAAGAATGTACGGTAGTTTTTCTATTACTTTAGTGCACTTTTGTAAATATAGATCTTTATACTTTTTAGAACACTTGTTTAATCTTAATTTCCTGGGTTGATATTGTGGTATAGCATTGTAGGCCGATGCACACGTTTGTTAACTGCTTGAACGTTGATTATAACTGACTGTTTAATCAGTGTATTTTGTCAAGTAAATTGGCTGAAAGCTTGTTAAGGCATCAGGTATTTCCAGTAGTTGTGGTTCAGTCATGAAGATTAGTTAAAAACAATGAGAAAGGCGAAAATCATATTTATTGCCAAAAGACTTAATTTCAATTTTATCAAGAAAGTAATTTATGCAACTTGACTATACGATGGATAAATATTTGAAGGGATCTGTCCATGGTTCGGAGCAGCCCCCAAATGCCCTGGTACGGTCGAAAGTGAAGAGAGTCCGCTCTTCCTCTCGAAACGCTCTCACATGACAACGCCTATATAGCCTCTGCCAGGGAAGTCCTACTTACCGCATTCTCATTGTGGGGGTGTTGTTTTCGAAATTGAGAGGACGAAAAGTGAATGTCCGGTGCTTTAACCGGGTCGGTGGACACGGAGAGGAATGGAAAAACCGTGATTCCAAACCAATGATGCACATGGACTCCAGTATCCTGAAGGAACAAATGGCGTATGAACCAATTTTTGGTCACCGGCTACCATGGGACTGCATCTCCTTACGACGCTCCAATGCCTTGTGGATCACAGCTTTAAGTCAAAGGCTCCGGGTGCGGCTCCTTAAGAAAACCACCTGCTTCTGTTTGGGCACCCGGGCAGTATAAAGAGCTCTCACACAAATCAAATGAAATTTGTGTGGCGCATATGTATGTGTTGCTCTCTTGTACCAATAGTCATGTGTTCAAATAAATAATAGTCACCTGGTGTCTACTAATTTGCGTTAACTGTGATGTAGACAGTGGGTCGACCGGCCTTTCAATGATCACGTATGCTGCTCATCAGTCTACTCTGTATTATTCTATGATTATGAAAAATAACCTAATGAAGTAAAAGACTAGTGATCAATCTCAAGGTTAAAATTCGTGTTCGGTTCTTTACCAACTAATTTTAGTCCCCTGATATCCCAACGTAGTGCACATGGCGTCGAGCCACTTAGAGTAGTGACCGCATTTAAACTTAATCGATGAGGTTCATCGACACGAAAGGATTAGATAAGCATGAGATCTATCATCACTCAGTCCAACCGGGAGTCAGTGGTCATAACTCTGACTGTAGATCTGAGTAATGCGGGTTCGAATCTCACATGGACCAGTTTCCTGAAATCACCAGGTACGCTGTTCTGACGAGTGCTAGCCACCAAGTTGCATAGTTTCATAGCTCTCTGCGTGCCATCCAATGAACATCCACTAATTGAATCCTTATTGTGGAAACAAGTCAAACGTCAATTACATTGAGGAACTAGATATTTATGTATAGTTTTGTATATACGTAAATAATGGGCAAGCATAATTCAGTATTGTCGTGCAAAATGACGAGGAGAGAATTGCATTAGTATCAAAGTTATTTTCTGTGTACATTTGTAATGTATATATAACAAAGGAATTGTAAGTAAGGAAAACAGAGACGTAAGATGTCACTTTCGTGATGTTTAAAAGCAAACCACTGAACGCAGTTTGCCGTAGGAGATATGTGCACGATATTGATTTTATAGATTCTATGTACTAAAAAATGTACAAAGTGTGAAGATGAGTTTCAATGAAAGAAATTGTAGAAACGGCAAGTGTGAATTGAGTACGTTGTGTGTGTATGTGTTACCAAAATTGAAAATTCAACTGAACTCATATAAATAAGAATAAACTGGACAGAAGTATAGAGAAGCAAAGAAGAGTATATATAGACTTGTATAATGCGAAAATTGGTAGCTCAGTTGAATCCAACCAGTTGCCATACATACTATTTGAAATGAATGGATCGATTGCAAAGAATATTCAAAGCTTCGTAACTAACCTAATTAGTTTAGAGAAGACAACATCATCGAAAAGGAATACGTCCATGCTCATAGCTATACATATCAATGAATGAAAGTGATGTTCATTTAAACAAAAAAAGAGATTGATAGAAGTATTCTGTTACAGTCAAAAAAGTAAAAAATATCAAGTCAAGAACATACTGAGAATTTATCTATAAGGAGAGATAAAGGGAGTGAGTGACGAAGTGTATTGTTGGAAGACACTTACAGTTCACTGAAAGATTTCTCAATCTGTTTAAGAATATAACTAAATAAGTAATATATATGGTCTGGATCATGGAAAGAGGTATATGTGAATAATTTGTTGTCAGTAGATGACATGGTTTTATGTTTGAACAGCTGAATGAAATTCATGTATATTTGAACGGTACCAATGTCTGGGTTTTCAGAATGCAGTTTAAGAAAAGTCGAGCTAAGAGTAGAACATAGTTGGAGTAATCCGGATGAGAAATGCATTCGAACGGGATGAATAAACAAAGAAAAACCTAGAAGCACTAAATGGTTGTTTCGTCCAACTATAGGACTCCTCGACAGTACATATCCACGATCCTGCATGCATGACTCAAACCCCAAGACCATTGATCTCGTGAACGAACTTTTAACATTCAGATCATTGAGTTAGCCAGCATTCAACACTAAATATCTAACTTCAGTTGATCCATGATCTTGTATGATCATTATTCATAATAGAAATGATAAAGTACAACATATATAAATCATTATTATGATGATGAACTTACTCAATGAAGACCTTCTTCTGTAGCATCTAAACGTTTATTAGTTTGTACAGTTTGCCATAAATTAGTAACTTTTCTATAATTATCATTTGAATTATCTAATGAATTATTATTCTTTTTATTGTGTATATCATTATCAATGTAACCAATAATATCTTGATTATTTGGTAAAGAATTGAATAAGGCTAATTGAGATTCAATAGTTGTTAATCTTTTCTAAAATAAAATAATCAAATAACAATCAATGAAGATGATATTAGATGGTGATTACAAGGAATACTATTACTTTTATATAAGTATGCCATTTGAATAAATGAATGAAGAAAACATTCTATGAAGTAAAGATGGATAATGGCTAAGAGTGGAATTTAAGACTCACGTTTTGTCCTAATTCGGACTCATCAGAAATATCGAAGCAATATGCACAGAATATACATATGTCAATAAAAGATAGATCAATTATAGTCCTAATCATCGATGGGAAGATTCAAGTAGAACAATGCCAAGTGAATTTAAACTTTACCATATTGTATAAACAAGTGACTATCAGCACTCTGTAACTAAGTGGATAACGCGATGGTTGTTTGAAGCGATCAGTACTGGGCTCGAGTCCCAGAGTGAACATTTATTATGAGATGTAGGTACATCCAACCGATGAGTCTCAAATAGGACAAAACGTACGTCCTGCATTCCACTGCTAGTCACTATTCATCTTTGCTTATAATCCTTGTGAATGAAGGCAATATCAAGGTAGTCCATATAGGATGCACATATGCCAGTCAGTCAGTAACAACTTAGAACTTCGTACGCACTTACATCAGTTCGAGTTGCCACACCACATTAGCACAAACATGCAGTTGTCGATTCAAATCCCGTAGTGGTAGAGATAGTAAGAGTATAAGCAGTAATCCGAAAAATTAGGGCTTGAAGATATTATTCAAAGAGTATAATACAGTGAAATAAATTTGGAAAGAAAGAAAGGTGCATGAAGAATACAGAAGATTAGAATTTAGAAGAACACAAAGAGTGGATGCATCTGCGCCATCGCAAACGATTTCGAGCCATTTCATTTAGGGTCTATAACCATCGGTTGCTATTATCTCACGGTCCCCAGTCAGGTAGTTTACACCTACCAACATGGCTCAGTCCACTCGTCAGTGACTTCATGGAATTGTGCTGTCTTGGTCTGGCCTCCACTACCTTTCTTCCAATCTACTCCTACATCTTTGAACATCGCACGTCGAGGCAGTCGGTGGTTGGCCATACATAACATGTGTCCCAGCCATCTCAACTGATCAAGTTTCACTACTTCATCAATCGATTTGCCATCCTTATCTAGCACCCGTTTCCTAACAACTGTGTTACTTACTCGATGGTCCCATGATATACGAGCAATGTTTCGAAGACACCTATGATCAAATACTAGTAACCTACGAATATCCTCTACTCTTACCGGCCATGTTTCATTGCCATAAAGTAGGACGAAACGAACTGCCGCGCAGTAAACACGTCCTTTGGTTGATAAATGGATATATCGCCTACGCCATAAATGACCCAAGTTGGCAAAAGCTAGTCGAGCCTTCTGTATCCGTGCTGAGATTTCGTCACACACCAAACCACAAGGGCTGATGAGACTTCCAAGATAAGTGAAGCGGTCGACACACTCAACTACTTCACTCCCTATCACTAGTTCGGGTGTCGATGTAACCCAATCCTGAAGTAACATTTTCCATTTCGAGGGAGAGAATCGCGTCCCGAACATGCTTGCCTTGTTGCTTAGAGTGGTCAGAAGACTCTGAATTTTGTCAGCGTCTTCACCACATAGAACTATTTCATCGGCATATTCTAAGTCAGCAAGTGAATCTCCCGGTAGAAGTTCAACCCCTGTAAATTTAAATGAGGAGAGTGTTATCTGTAAAAGTACGTCGACCACAAAGTTAAACAAGAATGGAGAGAGTGGACAGCCCTGACGAACACCACTTGAGGTAATCAATTCTGATGACAGTTCGCCATAAGTTCTCACTCTACCAGTTGTGTTAGAGTAGAGAGCCTTTACAAAGTCAATGTAATTCTTTGGTACTCCTTTCAGTGACAAACATTGCCATAGAACCTCAAGATCAACAGAGTCGAATGCCGCCTTATGGTCGAGAAATACTACGATTGTGGGGCGTCTGAATGTGTGTTTGACTAATCAGTTGTTGTCCTAACCATCAATAGAAAGATATGAGCAAACAATACCAAGTCATTTTGTCTCGGTTTTTTTCAAAAAACTAATCAAACAGAAGCAGACTTATGAGTAGAAAATATTTAAAACTTTCATTTTAATGAAAATCACCGGACACTACACAAAGATTACAACATTGATAGGTTTACAATGATTATTTGTTTTTAGCACAACTAATGATTAAATCCTACAGTAAACGTAAGATATAAAAAGACCCTGTGAATAATCTATTTGAAGTGAACGGTACTGAGTTCGAGTCCCAGAGTGAACATCAACTCTGAGATGCAGGTACATCCAGCTGACGAGTCCCAAACAGGTCGAAACGCGCGTCCTGGATTCCACTGCTAGCCACTATCCATCTTTGCTTATAATGCTTGTAAATTAAGGCAATATCGAGGCATACGCACAGTATGCACATATGCCAATAAGAGACTGATCAATTTCAGTCCAAAAAAATCAATGGGAAGATTCAAATAAAACAATATCAAGTGAATTATCTGTTACATTATTCATTTCGTTCAATGTTAAAGTCATCTGATAAAAACATTCTACTGAAATACATAAAATCACATATAACTTTTGTTTAAAATAATTTCAATTTTACTCTTATACTTTTCCATAGTTACTAAAATAATAACAAAAACGAGTAATCTGATAAACAACAACTTAATCAGTGGAATACACTTCACATTTGATATACAAACATACATTTTAATAAAGATGAAGATTATGGGACAGTTACATTCACAATAGTAATTTATTTGATTTTATTCAAATACATTAGTAATATGATAGTGAAGTAATCAATCAAGTGTGTATATGTATGTGTTTACACTATTCAAACTGAATTAGTTTCAGTGTATATTAGTTTGTGATTGAGATCATGGACCGATTGATGTTAGACCACCATTGAAAAACTTGGAAGCACTAGACAGCCATTTCGTCCTATTGTGAGACTCCTTGGCATTTCACATCCACAATTCCTCTTTCAAGATTCAAATCCAAGGCCTTTAGTCTCATGCGCGAACGCTTAACCCACTAGATCACTGAGCCGGCATCCAACGGTATTAATATGTAACCTCGACCGGTTCACGGAATCGCGTGACCATCTTACATTGTACTGAGGTAGATACCTATCTCTACCCGACACGGGTTTGTTCAACTTGTCACGGCTTTTCATTAGAACTCTGAGAAATCCCTCACAAAGCTAGTCAGTAGTGAGTATATGGTAATTATCAGTATGGGATTGTGGAGATTTTGTTTGTATGCATAAATTCTAATGTACCTAGTAGGACGAAACGGCTGTCCAGTACTTCCAGGTTTTCATTGGTGGTCTAACATCGATCGGTTCATGATCTCAATCAATGACTTAATAATCTCCAAAACCCTATACTGGTATAATAGTTTTGTGGAAGATTATTCAACTGATAATTTAGAAAAAAAATGGAACATTGAACTTCCCAAGCGCCTATTAGTCATCAAATTCAAAACCTTGATGTTATATCTTAGCGTATATCAGATTCTGAGAACTATTTATGGACTGTTATCATATATATTCTTATTGCATAACTGTTAAGTAACTAGATTATGTGTATATATTTATAATCTTTTTGTCATAAGCATTTATTTGACCTATACAACTTGCTATTTTCGGGCTATTCACAATCTATTAGTTACAAATTCCCATACTCACAACCACTTTTGGCTTGATTATGTATAATTATTCATTTTCATTTTATGGTATAATGTGGTCTAGTTTGGTTGTATATAAACCAAGTATGTCTAAAATATATGATTCATATAGTGGAAGCTGATATCAGTGTTCTGGACTCAACAGGCAGGACTAAGCAAAAAGGATTAATAAGGACTCTAGGTTGATCGTACCGTTCAACACGTCATTGGTTTGGCACAGTGCGAAGATTGTCTAAGTCGTATTCTGATTGGCGAATAAGTCACGTGATATTTAACCAACCAAAAGCCGGAACACTTTAATGCTCGTTGTAAGAGTGTGCCTTTTGGAATGCTAAGTTAGAATTCAATAGTACTGATCGCAAATATTAGTCAATTCACAATTTATTGTAGCTATTTGCATATGACCAAAGTTCCTACTAGTCACCATTTTTCATCAGAAACCTCAAGAACTAATCTACCGACAAGTCTTTGATGCTTCACTTGAGGAGTTTTGGAATTTAGTACTTTCACATATAACAATTGCAACTTTTCAAAAAGACATAACTATACATTTAAAGAACAAACAAACCAGATTATCGGTATTATTTAACTTGATTGTTAAAATAAAATTTTAATAGTTGAATTAATGAGTCGATCTAAGCTATATCAACATTGAAAACCTGACAGAACTAGACGGGCGTTTCGTCCTAGTATGAGACTCCTCAGCAATGAGCATCCACGATCCGGCACATGAGGCTCAAAACTAGGATCTTCAGTCTCACGCGCGAGCGCTTAATATTCAAACCAATGGGCCGGCAGGCATCCAATGGTGTTTCTGTCTAACTTCAATCGATCTATGATCTCGCGAAAACATCAATCCATTGTCTAAGGTAGGTAACTGTCTCTATCCGACATAGATTAAACTCCACTACTCATGACTTTTCATTAGAACTCCATGAAATCCGTTGGAAAGCTAATCAATAGTGAGAAAATGATCATTTTTATTATAAGAATGGGGGTTTGTGGAAATCATGGATGTTTACTACTGAGGAGTCCCATACTAGGATGAAACAGTCATTCAGTGCTTTTCAGTTTTCAATCGTGCTCTAGCTTAAATCGACTCATGAACTCAACTATAAAAAATTACTACAATCTCCACTAACCCCCATTCTGACAAAATTAAATTGAACTAAGTCATTTAACAATTAAAAAAGGAGTAGTTTAACAACCAACATCCCTCTTTGTTTGTTTGTATATTATTATAGTATCTATTGAAGTGACATATATTTTTACAAAGACATTGGTCATCATAATTAAAACA